TCAGTTTTTATTAACATCATAATGTTAATTTTTTAATTTGCTGTAAGCCCTCGGGCAAATGTTTTACATTACCGTTACCGTCTATGCACAAGTGTACACGTTGTATAGATGAGCAACGGATGCGATGGAATAAATCTGGGTTGTTACGTATTTCTTCAGCGGCATCTTCGATACGATTCCGCAACTGCTCTACATTCTCTACCTCGGTGTGATACACGACAGATTTTATATAACCCCATATACAAAAGTCCATAGGATTATTGGTCCTCATCTCCCTATCCACCGATTGGGACATTGATCGTCTAAAAATAAAAATCCACGGACATCGCGAGCAAAATGGGCCGGATGTCCGTCGTGCATATACCACATATCCCATAGCATTTGAAGGGGAAGGTTTTCAAACAATTCTACTAAAAATTGAAAGTAACGCGGCCCATTCAGATGTTTAGGTAGAAAATGCGGCCCAATTAAACGATCGCCATATACTCCTGCCCAGACATTGACACCGAACCTCCTCTGAAAGCTAAACCAACGAGTAGTGTGCGGGATTTCATCTGACAAATGTGACTATTATGGCTGCAAAGAAATTAGCTCTGTTTCACTTTAAATAAAATTTAATATTGACGTTACAAAACTCCCAGAGTTCAAGTAATTTAAATATCATTTTACAACCATTTCAATTTCATTACAGAAATAATGACATAAAAAAACAACACTCACTAGATAAATTATAAAGAGAGGGTGAAATGTATGTAGTATTTAAATATTGACTGTAAGTAATAAAAGATAAAAAACAATCCGACGGAGACAAATAAACAACTCGGTACGTGTTTCCGACCTAGGCTAACCTGTATCTAGGTCAATGACCTTCTATCTGACCCACTTTTAATTTGCACGTATACAAATAGTCTAGGAGCCAGGTAGGGTGCCATGGCCAACAGAGTGCCACGGCTGCAAACAACTTATTCGTAGTATTTTGAGCTCCTGAATCCAAAAAACTTNGAGGCCATTTTTGGCCCCTGGGGCCAATTCCAGACGTGGAGGGCCATTTCTGAGCTCGGGATCGTATTCAGCGTCGAAAAATACATGGGAATACATATGTCCGACCCACAAGTCCGAACACTTTCTTTTTGTGTAATATATATATTATTATATATAGGGTATTAATTAAGTATGTGCAATAAATTCAAGAGACGATTATTTGAGTGATTTTAATACAAAAAGTTCATATAAACATTGGTCCGCAGATGCTTCGTTTTCAAGATACAGAATCTTTTATAAAAAATATGCTACTTCGTAAATATCTTAAACACCCTTTATCCAATTTTGTTGTAATTTGGCAGTGTTATTTGTAGTGTTAAGGGACTAATACAACCCTAATTTGATTAGATTTGTTAAGTCCAGCAGCGTGCCGAACGGTACCTTCGGCTTCGGCGAAAAGTTCGGCTTAATTTTGGCAGAAGCCGATTCTTAGCCGAAGGTTTTAATAATGGCCCAATGTGGCCGAAGCCGATGCCAAAGCCGATTAATCTGTCGGTCTCTATTGAAAATAAATGCAAATTGTTACAAATGTCTTTGTAAGAACGAAACATTCTGCATACATATAGGAGAGTTTACGGAGGCACTGGTAGGTATGATTAAGAATAAGTAATAGGACTTAATCAGCCTGCAGAGTGTATTAAAAAATATTTTACTACCTAACTGATCACAATCGACTTTACCGTTGGTAAATTTATACAAATTAATAACATCCGCCAATATTGTCCTGTTATAATATTGTATTCAGATCATAATCTATGAAATCAATGCAATGTTCGCCTACAGCCTAAACTTACAAGAATTTTTTATATATGTTGAAGCATTTTAATGCAATTATTGTATTGTATTGAGGATTCTATAAAAGATGGCCAAAATAAGTCGATTGAGCCTAATATATTTTATGCAAATGTTGCTGGTTTCAAGGATACAGGGCGTTCAATCATTTTGAAAACTGTCGGAGTATGAACAAAAGAATTGGCACTATTATGTTTTTTGACATGACAAATAAGAATTTTTAACTAATTTTAGGGTTGCTAGTATAGGACCTCAGTTATGCCTTATTCCTTTTATAAATAGGGGACATATTTATTCACAAAAGTTTATAACCGTCTTTGAATGGCAACATTGAAACCGATTGCCATCAAATTTGGAACATCAATATAAATTTTAGTTCTAAAGAATTTCTAATAAAATTTTTCTAACTCTTTAAAAAAATGGGTACTTTACCTACACAACAATGGAGAAATTGATAAAATTAAGATAGACCAATTGCTTCCAAATTTAACATTTTTAAAGCAGATCTTATCCTTAACAAGTTTTCTAAATGATTCTTTTTTATACAGGGTCGGAACGTCCCCATGGTTCATCGGCCGTTACGTGAGAGCGACAAAGAAAGTCATAGAAATCCGTGCGATAGAGAAAGATGGCTATAATGAAGGCGTCTAATAGTCACCGCCTATTTCGCCCTTCCACAAATAAGGTCCATTTCTTATTTGTGGAAGGGCAAAATGGGCGGTGACTATTAGACGCTTTCATTATAGCCATCTTTCTCTATCGCACGGATTTCTATGACTTACTTTGTCGCTCTCACGTAAGGGCCGATGAACCATGGGGACTTTCCGACCCTGTATATTGTACAAAAAAGGTACTTTTCTTCGCAGAAAATTATTATTCTTGTTCTTAACAAAGCCTACTTAATTTTTCAGAAATAAAAATATATTTTTGACCAAGAGGAATTGTTCACCAAAATGTTAAATTTGTCAGTAGGTATTGCATGTTGGAAAAGTGTTATCTGCATATTTCTTAACTGACTAGATACTGAGTTCTATATTTTTAATAATTCTTACTAGGGGCCACCCTCTACATATTAAAACTGACTTTATCTACATTTGAATAGAAGCAGAAGTTTTTATCAGTAATGGCTTTTTATTCATAAAATGATATAACAAATTTGTTTGAGTTGGAAATATTGCGAATGAAATAAAAAAGGTTTGATTCACAGAAAAATTAAAGGAACTTAAGGAAAAAAGATGATAAAATGATTGTTTTAGCTATGTTCAAGATATGTGTAACAAAATTCTATATTTTATATTTTAACAATGCTTTAATACCCAGTATTTACCTTAGAAAAGAGTTTTGGATCCTTAAATAATAATCAATACTGTATATCTTAGAAACAAAACAGCTTAAGAAATATGTTGATGTGGAATTTTCTTCTCAAATATGCTGGATAATTGCCTGAAGTTTTCCGCGCTTTGTTGACTCTTAAACATATCGTATAATTTATTCCTTTTTAATATAGTTTATCGTTTGTATATAAATTCAGTGAATTATTGAATAATGATTGTAACAGTTTACTAATAATAAACATTAGGATATTGTAAATGCAAACCTTTGGACGGCTCATGTCAAATAAAATGAATGCATTTAAAACATAAGATAACATCCGGTATAAGAAATTAAAAGCAAATAGTACTGCAGAGACGGATGGTATACACTGATTTAAATAATAGTAAAAACTAAGTAAAGATAAAGTTTTTTGAGGAAACGCCGAGCGACGAGGGGTCCGCCGAAATCGCGAGGACAGAAGATCTAAGCTACCTAGTAGAATATATGAAAGACAAATAATTAATGTAAAATAATATCTTTTACAATAAGAAGGCCAAATAACAACTAAGGTAATTAAACCCATTTAAATTAACAAATATTTAAGATTTTCATATATCGTTTTGATTAATTTATATTTTATTGTAAAAGAAACTTAAATAAAAAGATTATTTAATACTAATATTAATCTACTAGAATAATTTCAACTCTATTAATTTCTTATGTATTACCATCTGTTCTTTTATACCAGGTACTACAGAATGCATTTATTTTAGGCCTTTTATTTTCTTCTTTCTTCGTTTTACAATTTTTCCTGTTTAATCCACAAACAACGAACATTTTTGGAAAAATTATATTGTTAAAACTCCAACCTGGAAGTCTGGGATTTGTGCTATTTACTATTGCATAGTGGATTGATTTGACTGAACCATAGCAAAAGAAACCCAAACCTTACTAAGGAAAAGGGTCACCATACACCTACCTACTTAAAGTTCCATGATGCCAGTAGATGATTTGTTACATATTAATATCAACCCCTGGAATTTGAAACACCGCGCCGCCATCTTGTTAAAAAGCACGTATGCAGCATATATTTTTATATTATAATTATTATTACTTATTTTCCAATTGCAACTCATGTATTATTTTATAAGCTTTACTTGGAAAACAGCTGTTTCTGGAGTACCTAATTATTATATCATTTTTTGCTAATCTAATTTACTTATTTTATGTAATTTGTTCAAAACTAAATTCTACTTTACTTAATTTATCATTAATCAAATTATTGCTGAATTAATTTATATTAATATTAAAATTTATACTTTTTACATTTGGCGTAAATAATTTATAATAGATATTTATATTACATTATGTTATCTATTATTTGTGTTGTTTTGTAATCCCCCAATCCTTGTCAATTTTATTTGACTGGCGCCCATGCCTACTATACTCTCAACAAATTAAAAAAAAAAGAAAATTTCAATGAACCCACGACCAGCCTCCGACATTGGAGCAACCATTACCAAAATTATTTGTAACTAAAAATAAAATAAAGAGTAATAAGGTTACATGATACATATTATATGTTAATCCTTTCAGACATTAGATACCACAAGGTTTGTCCTGTTTACCAGATCGTACATGAGCCATATATTTAATAGTATATTCATTTCAAAACAATCGTTTATTTTTATATAAAACTATACATAAATCGGAAACGAGTTGATATTCCTAAACAAAATATATAAAAATTTAATAAATAACTTAATAAATACATATATATACAAAGGTAGCTAGACTATATACATAATAATATGAAAGCATTAAATAAAAAATTACGATGTTACCAAAAAATTATTTACATTCTGAATATTTTCTTTTAAATTTGTTTTACACAATTATAATTTTGATTATTACTCAGTTTATGAATCAGGTAGAATCGATTTTTTGGGTGTGTTTTCGGCTTCAATGCCTTTACCACTACTTCTGTACTGATTCCATCCATTGTATGCCAAATTTTGGGCTGAGTTGTCATCTCTGAAGTGTACACCAGGTCCATGTGGAGGATAATCTGAGTATTCCTGGGCATAGTGTGATGATTCTCTATGATAGGGCTGGAAGCCTATATTAGCCGGAGAGTAATGTGGTCCACCATAGAAGTTACCTGTAATTTATTAAATAATTATAAAATGCAATACTTATATATAAACGATGTAACAGTAATCTTGAGACAAGCTACCTGGGCGGAGTCGTCTCGTAAAAATAAACATAAATAGAAGAGCTAACATATGCAAATATAGATTTAAAATTTCGTACAGTGTACGTAAAACGTCAACAAAAGGTACCCGTAGGTTTTGAAGTATGAGACGTCTCAACTGTCTATGAAAAAGTTATTTCACTTTAAGTATAATACATATTTGGATGGACAATTTCCAATAAAACATTTTTGAATGTATTAGGCGCTTGTAGTAGCAGATCATAGACAAACATCAGTTATGTTGCCCAATATCTCAACAATTAGATGTAGGTATCTGCATAATTATGGATAGGTTGAAATCTACCCCTCCGACTATCTTTCATTTAAATAAATGCGAATTTGTGCAAAACTTTAAGTTATTTTGATTTTCATACTCTACTACTTACAACGTTTTTAACATTTTTATGGATTTTGGACCTTTAACTGTGAATGGAGCATTCTCGAAGCACAAAAGTGTAGATAGGAAATGGTTCATCCTAATCACCAATTCTGTCTTTAAAGGTTCTAGAGTAGGTAATTGCACAGAAACTGTGTTTAATTTCCAATTTTGAAAGAATTCTTCTACTCTAGTTATCAGGAACCTTTTCAGAAAAGAGTTACTATTTTTTGTTTTGACGAAAGAAATCAGTCTGAAAGTTTGTTATAACGTCGCTGTTATAGGTATCATATATGAAAAAATATTTGCTATACTTTTTTGTTGATGTTACGTTGTAGTTCTCCAGACATTTGCTTAGTAAAGGTTTGTCATTTTTTCATTTCACTTTCTCCAATTGTGACCTCATGAGATAAGCTTTGGTTATTATAGGCCGATTATTTCATTAACTTGAAGCTGTTAATGGTTCTTTCTTTTCACATTTAAAGACAAGTGTTTTGAAGGCAATATTTATCTGCATTAGAAATGAAACAAATTAATTGATATATTACTAGGTTCTCAATTAAGTAGTAATATTATCACCTGTTTTAAGATGATTTATGTAGAAAGTTTTTTGCATCGTTGTTTGATATATTTCTTTAGGGATGTTGTACATAAAAACCAATTCTATTATTTACAATTTATACTAACCTCCATTTTGCTTTATTATGGGTTTGCAGAAATTGAAGAAAGCTATGGCTCCAGGAATGATAATGGCAAGGAATCCAAGTAATTTCTTAAAGGAAGCAAGCCCAAGGATAAGTGGCAAGAATAAAAGAAGCTTCAGTTTGAATACTTTCAATATAAGTAGAAGGGGAATGAACAGCTTCTTCAGTTGCTTCCGTTCTGAAATAACAAAAATAACGGTTATGTAACATATTTAACAAATGCAACGGACAAAAATGTATTTTTTTTGTATAAATTTGGACCCCGCACAAAACTAATGGAAAAAGTCTTTTCGTCAAATTGCTTGAAAATGTGGGATCAGGTAGGTGATATGATGTAGAGCAAAACTCGCCATGGACCCGACCTTCGCCTATGCACGGTTTCGGAGTGTGAGTATGTACCGTACTCAGCGATCCTCACTCTCAACGAAGATAAACTCCGAGAATTATTAGGAATACTTCCATCAACAATTGCCATCAAGAGAATCTATTATCTCTAAATTTTGATTTTGATAATTCATCTTGGAATCGAGTATACTCATTGGGACTCGGAGTGAAGGATATTTAACATTATCTTCATGTCTTGCATACCCTAAGTACCATATAGTAGCCGTTAAATGGGCGCATGTTTCTAAAGTCCTTGCTCCTTGTTTACAGGTACAGAAGTAACTAAGAATGGGTTCATCTTCATTCTCAGCTTCAGGATGATTTACAGATTCATTAAATGAGATCCATAATTGATGAACCATGGTACATCTCAATCGAAAAACAGCCTAATCCTCATGAAACCTGGTTCATTTGTATTTTGATCCAAGTAAAAAGTGCGTTCTTCATCTTCATTATCATGATTAATTCTTTGAGAGCTATCCTGTATATAATATGGTGCCAGGTTTACTTGATCAGTACCGAATGTTAGATTCCGTAAATAATCTTCTGTGAGTACTGGGAATATTGGAACATGGGCCAGCAGTTAATTCAACCTATTTCTTCGGCGCCCCAGATTCTCTATTTCTACTATTGCCTGAACAACGTTAACTTCTTGCGCTCGAATCACTCAAATTCGGGATATGTGATGTTGATACTGTGTAAGAAAAAAACTTGAATATTCTTTGGAGGTGTTCGTTTCGAGCCTCTACTACCTATCTTGTTTTGGTTATTGGTCGTGACTCATTTGCTTCTTCAGTTGAGAATTGAGTCTGATTTGGCTGTAGTAGTGGTGTCATTTTCGTATTCAAACCATTCTCTGTAAGGTGGGAATAGCATCTCGATATCTACGATCTACAATACATCGTATATCTTGTTGTCGAAACCAGTCTCGCATTCCATTCACATCTCTATTAAATTCGTTCAGGAGAATTCTGGCATCGTTGTTAGCTACGTCTGAAAAATAAAGACCTTGAATGTCTAATATACAGCCATCAGTGTGGACACAGTTTGATTGTCTTAGTGCTTTAAAACAAGAGCTCTTCTCAAAATCTATGTAAGTGCAGTCAATATAGGTGACTACTTTTAGTTCCTGTGGTGTAGGATTATGCAAACGATTCGCAAATGGACTCACGTGTCTTTCTATATAATTCTCTCGGGCAATAGCCTCAAATCTAATGTTCTCACCTAGTTGATTCCACAGTTTCAAGCAATTTGACGAAAAGTCTTTTCCATTGGTTTTGTGCGGGGTTCTTTCTACCGGCAATTAACAATTACTGTATGAAGTGTGTAAATGACTGATTTATAAAAAAAATTAAATAAACGTTGCTGTCCAATTAATTGATTTAAAAATGTATATATTGGAAGTCAATTAATACTTACTGAAATGGGAGTCCGTTTTATCTTCAATTATGTCTATCTCGCCTACAATGTCATCGATAAAGCGTGGGGAATACCTTCCTCTTTCTGTAACTTCATCGTTGAAGGCTAATTCGAATGACGTTGATTTTAAGAATTTCTCAATCTGGAATTAATGGAATGGGTAAAAGACATCTAAATTAATTTTGCTTTAGTGTACTTTCAAATCGCCTGATTATTCAGAACAGAAAAGGATTATTTCAATAATTTGCATAAGTACATAATATGTAACTTAAGTAGTACACAAAATTAAAATTATATCAAGAGGTTGTTGCTTGGATAATTTTAAGACAAAATGAACTTATGTCCTAAACGATTTAGATTTCGAGACGGTGTTAAAATTTCCACAAATAGATATCTCCGAAAACCTCAATTTAGGCCTAGGTAAAGAAACAGTTTCATAATCCTTTCGGAAGGAGAGAGCGATATGTCTCTTGAAACGTCGAAATGAATAATCGACGACATGACAACCAACGTGGAAACTGTTTATCCATGGTGTATTTAATTTCTAACTATATTTCTAAGCGTCTTTTCTAGTGATATTTTCGTGTATAAAAATTCAAAGTTTACCATTTAAGTTGCTAGTCCAATTTTCATTAATTTACTTCAAACACCTTTAGTGATATTGGATTTATATATTTCAAAATCTTTAAAAATCTCGATTCTCGAAAATTGAGGCGTTCAGGATATAGGTTCATAAGAATTCTGCTTCTTAAAATGATCAGTGAATCATATATTTTGAAATATTTTTACGTACTTTACTTACAAGTTAATATATTCTGAAAAAAAATATTATTTTTATATTGGTAGGGGTTACAATTGTGGCGTTTTATGAGAATTTGTTTACTGTTACATGTAGTACATAAGTATATAAATATTAGTAGAAGGTATTTTTTTAAAAATTTTTCAGTAACATATCTCGAAAGCCAAAGAAGATATCTGAATTATGTAAAATGGTCGTATAATACACATAAATAACTTCAATTATGAAAATGAGTTTAAATGGCATTACCATTCATTTATTAAGTACTTGTATACAAACTTTAAAGGTGAATCTTTGACTAATTTTAAGATAAAAAGTTCATATGAACATGGGTCCGCAAAAGCTTGTTTCTTGAGATACAGACTGTCAAAAAAAATTTTTGTTTGGTATTTTGATTATATTTTTCAATAACATGGCAATTTGACGAAATTATAATTATATAATTTTTAAAGCTGATTTTCGAGATATTTGAACCTCAAAGAGAACTATAGTTTGTCTATCTATAACTTAAAAATAAATTTTTAAATAAACATGTTAAGTTGCGCTGTCATAGGCATAATAAAAATTATTTTATCTAGCTCGATGTTTGAAAACAAACGGTTTAATTTTTATTTTTTTTACGAAGCCTTATAAATCATTTAATCAAACATCAAAATGGATAAAATGGAAAATTTTATTACCATTTTGACTACCAGGGCAACATATATAAAAATCGTCAACATTGAGCTTGCATAGTACATTTGCTCTTAATTTAGGCCACTTGAATGCGTACACAATATTTTTTTAAATATTTTTTTGTTTTGAGATATAAGAAATTTTAATCTGATTACTCTGTATCTTATCAATCAATATTTATTTTTGGAGCTATACAGGCTTACAGAAACACGACATAAGTAAATGTCTTGCAAAATCTGTGGATTACAGTTTAATGGAGAAAAATTATAACCTGCCCTAAGAGATTATTCAATTTATTTGCAATTAAAATGTCTGACTTGCAAAATAATATAGTTTAGTATTGTAAAATCAGAAAATGAATTAATTTACAAGTTTTTGAATATTATTACAGAACAGACACCACTGTAAAAATAAAAATTCATATTTACCCTCCTACTAGCGAATTTGACGAGCTGGTCCCATTCCGGTTCATCGGCACGCGGTGCTTCTGAATATTCAAAAGATTCTTGGGCCAAATGGCGCAGCTGACTTTCTGGCAACCGGAAAATTCTAGCATTTTCGCTAAGATGATACGAAGGCTGAAAAAAATTAAAATAAATTGTAAATAATATTTTATAGTACTAAACTCTTACTGTAAGTAGATATTTTCATCTTTTGTAAATGATTTCACACTGTATGTTTTCAGTATGCTGAATTAAATTTATCCCTCTCTCGTAGTATTACGACAAAAACTTTCTTCACCACTCTCTGGATAGTGAGTTTCGGATTACACTGAATATTAATTAAAGCTATAAACCTACGTGATTTGATATGGCTATTACTACCCGGTTGCGATAAGATACTAATCTGTTAATTGAATTGCTGCTAGAATATCTTGATCAATATGGGGGATGGGATTTTTTAAACTACTGCTTTCTATGCCAATCCTGCTATTTAATATAGTGTTGTATTTTGTTTAATTAAATATTGATTACAAACCATGCTGAAATTTTGTACGTTTTATTCCCGCTTTTAATAAACAATATTTATGCCTAAGATTAAAAATACTATAAAAATGAGACATTATATGCAACTCTGACTTGTTAAAAAATAAAGCTATCCGAAAATGTGTGTTGGGTCTAGCAACACATTTTTTGACAGTTGTACCATTGAACTGATACATAATATATTTCTTTAAATGGTATCTTTCATGTATTTTGATAAATACATGAAAATATGTATAAAAATGTTATATGTATAAATATGTTAACTTCCTTCAAAATTTCATTTGGTATTCTTATCATGGAGAGTAAATCAGCAAGAAAGACTTAGTTAATTTAAATTAATTGATGAAACTTTTTTGCTATCATTTATGTAACACAAGTAGATTGCTATGATATCTGCTCTAGGTTGATAACAATTTGGTCATCTTAAGCTGAATTAATTATTCTTTTGTTATCAAATTAACCAATATAATTAATTGTTTGCATAATTTCACATTGTTAGGGAAATATTCTGTTTCACTGGCTACTTTGAAATATATATAAACATATTCACTTTATTAACACCTTTCTTCTTACTGCGCTTTGAATTGTTTCGAGATTCGCTAACGTAAATATTCCAGAAACGGAAGAGCTTTAGGTATCCATTGTATTCCGACTTTTTTGAACTAGGTATTTTTTATTTTCGCCACTTCAAAGTAAATTCTTTAACTTTGGCTAAATCGAATACCTTTCACGAACGAAAGCCAAACCAACTTTGTTATATTTTTGTAAAAGGTTCACATACAGCATGCGATTCCAATCTAGAAACGTCCAATGCTAACGTTTGCATCAGCTTATTTCTGAGATTTTTGGCTACAAAGGCTATTTCCAATAATAGAAACACAACGCAGGAAATTATGTTTATAGAATGCAGATAATTTAAAAATGTATTCAACTAGTTATGAGAGTTACTAAAATAAAAGTTATTGCTCTACCACTTACAATTAGTGGGATAAGACAAATTCCACGGCTTTATTAGATATTATTTATTACAGGACACAATTATCGATCATTTCAAGAATTTTTCGGATTCAGCATCAAAAAATACACAACCTTGTGTGTTTTGATGTTATTTTCAAAACCAATTTTTACCTGAATCTTACTTAACCTTATCTTTTAGTTTGAAATAATCATATATGTATATAATAAATAATTTGACGATTTACGGATATAACTTTTACACAATTCTACACAATTTTCTTTAATAGAAATAATATCGTTAATAAGGGTATTATTCTGTAGATGTAAACACTAAATTCTCGGTCAACTTTATCTTAGAAGCAAGCAAAATATTTAATCAGTAACGACTTTTTCCCGTAAAATGTAAAATAAAAATATTTCCCCACCTGTCCATTCTAACCATAGATAATGGCAATATCGTATGTGCCTAGAATATACATTTTGTAAAAGACACAACATAATTTTATTACCGTCGCTTTCTACAACAAAACAAACTATATTTCGAAAACACTCTCCCTAGCAGAGTAATCGATTACTTGTTAATGAACTGATGAACCCAAGAATTTATTTTCTAAGAGCTTTAGGTATCCATTGTGTTCCTCACTAATACAATTGTCTTGACAAAAACCCACGAAATATTCCCTTAGGTGGATTAAATGGTCTACTTACTTTATCGAAAAACTCCTCGAATGAAGCTAGAGCCCTTGACTTGAAACACTCTGCGAGATCTCCGTTGAGACAATCCGCATTTACTTTCGCTAGGTAAGGGTCAGTGCCTGGACCTGTTCCCAATCCTATCCAGTCAAGCAGATTACGTCCTGAAATAGGATAGAATATTATATGGCATAGTAAATTAACTGCTGGGTGATTAATAATGCATATTCCTAGCGCATGTCTAAAGGGCCCGTTTGTATTCATAATTCAATACGATTGTGTTTAATAATAATTAATAAAATATCTGTAGGATATTAATGCTGTACCTTTACTAATATTAAAGTGTGTTTAAAAAATTATGCAATATTTTATAGACAAAAACTTATGTTATATTTTTGATGCAAATGGAATATGTTATAATTCACATTCTTCTTGCTTTTTAGAAAAGAAAATTGGTATGGGCCAAAGCTGTAGGAAATCTTGTGGTTTTAAAACTGTACTTAGAAAGAGATTTGAATTTTCCATTTCGGATATGTTTATTAAACCTGCGTCTTCTTTAACTAGAACACATTGTACATTTATGTATTTGGAACACTTTCTCAGGATTAAAATGTCATAGGGTTTGATAGATCCATCTCTAATAACGAGGAAGATATGGCTAAAAGAGTATGATAACAATAAACTGTTTAGACTCTTGTCATATATGTCTTATTACTGGAGATAGAGACCAGTTATACTTTATATTACTATGTTATAGAAGCGCTCTATCCAAATATGTTCAAATATACAGGATGTTCTGTAAAAAAAAAACAAAAGTTTGGTTTGTATCTTCAAAACGCAACATTCATTTGTTTTTCTAAGAGTAGTTTTGAAATCACAAGATAATTAATTACCACTTTCGAGAAAACGTTTTTTGTTTAAATATGAATGGAATGTTATGTGAATAATGACTTAGAACTGATGGTTGGCCATCATTATAGGTAAATGGAAATAAAAAGTAGGAAACCGTAAATGAGGATCTGACATGATGATTATCATGATGACGATGTTGATGACTTAAAATTCCATTTTGATAAGTTTATCCCTTTATGGGCTGTGACGTCATATACATAGATATATTATTATCCCAATTTCACAAACATGATTTTACATATAAATGTCTTATTTCTGTTAGATTTAAGTTTCAGTAGCTTGAATATTTTAAAATAAAGAAATATTTCCTTAAGTTATGACATGTACATAGAAAACGCCCTATATAACAAGGTGACATAATTATTTGGCTGAGATTATGACACTAATATAAATGAATGTGAAATGAAATGTAGGTATAGAAATAATTAAAATACATTTGTGGTGGAACGAAACGCGTCTAAATAACAAAGTATCTAAATAATATCGCAATAAGTAAATTCTAATATTTATATTAACAATGGGTGCTTAGTAGCATTACAACATAGACAATGAACTAATATATATCGTTGGTAGAATATATTTTAATAAATGTTTCCAAATAGTACATATATTTTCTTGTATAGAAATAGAAGTAGTGTATGTCAAATTGCCAGATTTATTTTATTCTAAGAATTTAAAAATATTGTAGTTTTTAATGCAGTTATTATTAGTATTTACTAAATAGAGTATAATTTAACATAATCAGAAAAATATATATTTTTTTTTAATTTTGAGTCCTTACGAGAAAATATCTTTAATTTTTTTTTATGAAAATATTTGGGCAAATATTCTGAATTAATTCAAATATAGTCTAACGCGCTACTGCCAAGAAATAAGAAGACTGTCATTGAGGGTGATCAGAGTGACAGGAGCCAGTAGCACTAAAATGGACTTGTCTAGGCGATTGAAGAACTGGAGATTTCGAAAGTTAGCCTATTGTAGCTGGCGAATCTAAGTTCTCAAGGAAGGTACCAACTGTTCATTACTGCAGAACAAACAAGTCAGACTGTTCACATTTTTATATTTGAGACGTTTTGCCGCTCCACGTTGGGCGCCAAAATGGAATGAGCATTTATTCTCAAGGTGAGTACTAAAATGTATTGGTTCATCGAAATAATAATAATTGGGTTATAATTTCAAGCAAATAAGTAATATATTAAAAAGTGTAGTACATAAATATGAAATATTCTTGATTGATTACACAGCCACACAAAAAAAAGTATAGGATCTGGTATTCAGACCCATATATTTCCATGTATTTTTTTCCGCTGAATCCGAATCTGCCTTCAAATTTGGCCCAACGGGTCTGAGTTTTGAAGAAAAGAAAACACGTTATAGCAACAAAAATAAGAATGATTAGTAGATATCGTTTTCTTTTGTTTAGAAAGTAGAGTAATCTACAAGTTTTATTGCATTCTCAATCTTCTATGCTGTTATCTCATCTCTCAGCACAAAAAGTAGATGGATAGATAGGTGGATGGGTGGGTTTTATAGGTAGTACAGGTGGATGGATAAATATGCGTATTCATGCATGAACTACTGGATATAAAGATGTATGAATTCATAAATTGGTGGGTGGATAAAAACATGGATCCAGAACTCTGCAACACGAATTATGCCATGAAAATGGCGTTTTGATCTATTTTTTATTTTTGAATGAAATTGGACCAGTTTGTCTAACTCTATGATGATAAATTGGAATTAAACGAGTAAAAAATCATACGTCTAGTGAATTGGTAGAATAATTTCACTTTTTATAACTTTCGTCGATCGTAAATGACGTTTTTTGTGAATTTTGACCTGTTTTTTGAATTTTCCCGAAAACTCAGATCCGTTGGACCTAATCTGAAAGCAGATTCGGATTTAGCGGAAAAAATACATGGAAATACATGGGTCTGAATACCAAATCCGATACTATTTTTTTTTGTGGGGTTGTGTTATAATAATTCATTCATAAGAAACTAATATTAGCACTTTTGGTCAGTGATCAAACTATGTTTATTAAAGTTCCAGAAAATAGGCGGATACTATTCCAGTTATACAAATTTGAACAATCTGACCTGTTCTGCTGTGCGAAATAGTTGGCATTTTCAGCTAGGCTATCTTTCCAACTCTCCAGTTCTTTAATGGCCTAGATAAATCCTTTTTTCTATTACTGATCTCTTGTCTTTGTCACCCTCCTCGATGCTCAATTTCCTTTTTACTTGACTTACCCTACTCTTACCTACTACCGTCACATAATTTTACCCATGTCTTGGACCTAGATAGCCTAGACCTAGATAGCAACCTAGATAGCAACTTTTTTGTCTCTATTCTCAGAAACATCGTACCTCCCATGAGGATATAGACAAAAAACTACTGTTATATCTAGCTGAATAAGTATAAATAATTAAATCAGACCTACATAGCAATTGTTGACTGATTTTCATTACATATACAATGTATTGATTAATGTCATCACATCTTAACTTTCTGGTTTTTAAGTTAAGAAAATGCTAAAAGTATCAAACGATTATTTAAAGTTTGTACAATGTTTTAAAAAAGCGTGACAACAATCTTAGATTTTTGTAAATGGAATACTATTTCATATTTGAACAAAACGTTTTTTCAGGATTACATGATAAGTATAAGATTTTTAATAGATAGATACCCTGCACAATAAAACGTATTTGTTTTAACATCATATCTTATTGAAATAAAAAGATCTCTATAGATATTGCAGGGTGTGCATATTCTGAAAATTTATCTTCCTGTCAGATTTAAATCAGTGTACATATTTTTTTTAGAAGTAATTCGAATTTTACTTACATCTATTTTTCAACATTCGGTTAAAGCGAAAATTTCACGAAGAATTCAATTATAAGGTTTAACATACTTATCGCTAGACAATGGAATTATACAAAACACTCTTTTAAGGCATTATCTTAGCGCTTTACGAGAGAAATGTTCTTTCTTATCAGTTTTGTAAAGAATGGCTCTACGGTACAAATAATTTACAAAGTCCTAGATAATGGATGGATCACTCTTAACGAAGTAACAAATGTTACTTTACATACATAAGAAAAAACTACCTAAACATTTCTTTAATTTGTTTTTTGGATGAGAAATATAGAAATATGTAACAAACATTATGAAAAAGGTGAGCTAATATTTGAGAGAATCAATCTGTATGATACTTTTAATTTTCGAAATCTGTTATCAAAAACGTTTATTAAATTTCTCGGAAACCCACCAAGATTACTCTGCCACTGTGGATTTAAAAATATACGTTTCTGGATATAGTTAGTGCAATTTGTCTCTATAAAACTTTTGAATTTTTGGGATCGATGTTAATTTATTGCTTATTCCTATTTCCTGTCTTAACATATTTGAAACATCATGTTTATAAGATATTATTTTATTATTTGCAAGATATTGCAATGAAGGCATTTTAGAATTAGACAACTAACTTGTTTTGGTTTCTTTATTCTGTTAACTTTGAGTTTAATGACAATCAAATATTATTATGGCAGAAAATGTATATAGTGTGACCCTTCTTTCATAGCCTTTAACTTGATCATAGAAAATATTCGTTGTCGGAATGTCAGTGAAACTGAAAAGTCACATACTATTTGTGGCATGTAGACAGTGTTGTTGTAAGGCAGTGAGAATTTTCTTGTCCTAATTGAAGCCTTCCATAAGCCTTCACAGGTTGTTTGTAAAGTCTATATACTTTATTTTTATTATTATATTAAATGTTCTCTACTTCATATTTTCAAATCAATTTTTTCAGTTTTTTTAAACAAATTACCTATATTTTATAAGATACGATATCTTTATTTTAATACCAAAAAGTTTACATTTATCGTTGGTGATTTTTTAGATATGGCAGCTTAAAAGAAAACTTAGATATTTTTTTGATCTGATTGAAAAAATGAAAATTTATTGAAAGCCAATTAAAATCGATATTCAACTTTTAAGAATTCATAATACAAGTCGTGCTACAATGTGAGAAAAGATCATGAGAGAACCTAAATGAAAGGTTTGATTGTATTGGAAATGTTGATTATGAAAGTATTTTCATTAAAAATGTTAGTTTTCTTAACTTGCAAGAAACTTCAAAATTTTAAGTAGATATATCAAATATCCATTTCTTTTGTTTCGTAAAATATACTTATGCAAAATATGAAGAAGTTATAAAATTAATCATTTAAGAGGTTGTTTTTATAATTAATTGCAGATCATTAAAAACTTTCATACATAAACTGCTATTTATTCAATTTAAATGAACGAACTTTCTGAACGGTTCGAAGTTTCTACAGCTTCATTCAGAACTTTTTCAAACTCCTAATCGGCGAGACTCAGAAATTTCAAGTTTGAATTACACATTTTTATGAAAATGCCGATAATTGGCACATTTCCTCATAATTTATTTAAATCATTATACCAATGTATCATTTATAACTTTTCTCCTGTTATCGAACTTCAATTCAAATTTAAAGATTAATGTCGACCTGTTGGTACTTTTCGATCAAAATGTCGGATGATTTTAAAAGTTTTTTAACCGAACAAAGTTTATTTCATGAAAAATTAATTCTCCTTATTTTCTCCAATATGTAGGTATACAGAAAAATAACCATATTTAAATACCGGTAAATATTTTATTGCAAATTAATTGATTTAAAGGGGTTTGCATAATACACTCGATTAAAAAAAAACTAAAGAACTGGAGATATTATAAAATAAAAAAACAGTTTTGTTAATAATGATAAGTCAAAATATTTCCCGTAAAAAATCAAACCACTGAATTTGTTGTCTATAGATTTAATAAAATTTAATATATAAGTGTAGGAAACTAATACTGAACAAAAACTAATATGACAAGAACTAGTTACTTACATTTAAATTGTCGCCCTTCGTTGCAAAAACGGAAACTATCTTACCTTTCTTTGTTCGGTACTAACTACATTTTACTTTAACTCAGCGAACTAAGACGAGGATTCCAGCGGAATATAAACTTGTCTGACCTCAACATCAAACTGGTACTTACGGAGCCATAGGCGTTGCTACGTGGGGCTTACAATCTTTACATAAATTTTAAATAAAGCATTAAAATATAAGAAGTGATAATTAATGATAATAAATTTAAAAAAATGAATGATTGCCTTTAAATTTGTCAATTAAGGATGTTTAAAAATAATAATTTTAAAAGTAATCATTACGTATACTGTATAATTTTTCGTTAAATATATGGACTGATAACCTTCTTAGATATATCTTTTAAACATGAATTCCCTGATGTTTCACTTAGTTTTTGAGAAATTGCTCTTCGGTTCTTAAGAAGTGCTTAAGAAAACTCAAGAAATGTAAGCAAAGGAACGCTTTGAAGTGCAATTTCTAAAAAAAATGTTGATGTACCAAGGAAAATCAAACATGTGCAATTCGTATTTAAGAGATCTATTGAACGAGGTCACTCCAAATACCTTGCTATTTAAAAAAATCCTCTCCTCACCTATGGCGTGCATCGCATCAAAAGGTGCAGGACAAAAAACCAAAATCGGCCTGTGCTGGTATTTTGCAAATAAATACAGAATAAAAGTTACATTAATTTTATTCTAAACGTTAGGGACATACGGTTCAGTGTGATCAGTTATTAATCAATAAAACATTACCAATAGATTGTACGATATAACTCATGTTCAAATTAAATAAACATGTTTTTAGTACTATTTTTGGCACACCTCGGCAAGTATTTACTCATTTTTGAAAAATGTGTATGTTTGTTTAAACAAAAAACAGTGAATTTTCTACTGCACTTGTCAGATGCGGATAGCTGAGTACTTTGGTGAATTTTAGTCTAATAAACATTACATTTTTAAATTTGAAGCTAATTATATTAAATATCTTTTATGTTTTAGACCAACTTATCTCTAATCAAATTTTAGCTTCTTATGAGGTTATTATAGTCCCTTAAATATTGTTTCCTGGATCATCACTTCGAGGTCCTATATTTCAGTAGGAATAGAGGTAACTTGATCTAGCTGCAAGTTTTGCAAAACATGACTGACAAATCTAATAGAAAATTGAAATCAATTTTTTTCTGGAATGACATGCTACAGGGGTCACTTTACACTTAGAAATCATTGAACATTTTTAAGTATATTATTTCTGCCCTACATAGTGGAATAACAATTATATTTTATAACAGGGCCTCAAGAACGAACTTTTAGTGTCTATTTCGGAAAGGAAGTATTTTTCAACAAAACTTTGTATTAACCACTCCCCATAACTTTCGTCAATCAATGTATTGGTGATAAATAAATGAATATCCTATATTTAAAAAACGATTTATCAGAGAAGCAACTTGAAAGAAGTTCCAAAGTGGTGTCACGAATCGAACACACTACTTTTTGTTTTTCTATTTTCAGATATTTTCGCTTTAGTTATAATTTATGATGTCAAAATACTTAAATTAGATTATATGCTTTTGAAATTTATTAGTTTTTTGTAGTTCTTCTATGAATAAAAACAAATATTAATAGTCGATATCAAAATAACGGAATCATTTAAGACAAAGTGAAGCAAGGATTTTTTTTAAATTTGCTTTAAAACACTACAAACAATTATGTCAATCTCGTAGAATTATATCTAAATGAATAGAAAAATAATATTTTGATAAACATTGAAATACAAGATTATTTAGGTAAGTTCTATTTTGTGAAAATATACACTTGGGGAGTTCCCTAAAAGACACATACACGAGTTAATTTTTTAGATATTTTAGCACCATATATCGAATTATTAATCTCATGACACGCAAACTATGTTCAACATTTAAAAATAATATTAATCAAGCGATCAGTTGTTTTTGGCTATCTTTTGCTGAAGATACGCCACTGACGAATAACCTTACCTTGTCGGGCATCTTCTAGAGTTCCCTGAGGCACGAAATTCTGCTGCTGGCCGAACGACTGTAGCGCCACCAAAGATATTCCAAAAAATAGAAAAACCCACTTGGCGATCTCCAACATAGCGATGAAAGATGACACACAACAAAAACGAAATTGGTTTTAAATTAAATTTCTTTGGTAAACACTCTTTACAAGAGACTTGGGCTGCTAGTTGGGTCACGAACTAACTGTACTCTACCGACATGGATTCCTTCGTCTTATAACTGTTTTGGGTGTATTATATTCTAATTTTTCGAGCTACTCAATGGCTTGTTCGAGAGTGAGCTGCGAGTGAAGGAGTGATTAAGTTTGTTTTATATATATGGGTGTAAGGGGTGACTTATACTGACAGTTCGGCGTGTGTTGGGATACCCCGGTGAAGTAACGATTCTGGCAAGAGGGGCATTGCCCAGAGAAAGTGCCTATATTTCCGAATCACAACTAACCTTGCCTCTTTGGTGTTAATAAACTTGAAAGTAAAACTGCATCATATCCGCTCGTAGTAGAGATACCTGTAAAAAATAACTAGACAAGTTATTTCTAACTGTGCATATAATAAACAATCGTTTTTAGAACTGCTTGTTACGGTTTTATCAACTACAGAGAACAATAGATGTTAAATTTTTTATTGCATCTTATTTAAAACATGCTTTACTTTTAAAAATTCGTTAATTAGTTTTTAATTAATGTTGTTTATTACTGTGGACAGTGAATTAAAAAAAAATCTCATATTAAGGAACTAAGAACAAATAAAAAACAGTAAATTAACGGACACGTTGCTTAAAAAGACCCTTATTAACTTTCATAAAAAATAATGGCCGGTATGCACAACAGGCAACAATTGTTTTTATTTCCACTGTTTTGAAAAATTACTAGGTTTTATTACTTAATACTGAAGAGTATTAAGCTAATTTAAATCAATATTTCTAAAAATCTCATCTGATACTTTTTGACATCAACATATAGATTCTAGAGCATACATGACTCATAAGATGGACATATAAGAAACTTTTTTATACCAGATTGTACATTTACTAAAGTATTAATTTGTGAAAAGGAAGGATTTCAATTAAATGATTCCTAACAATAATAAAAGTTACTAAAGAGATTCGAGTCAAGTTATCCACAGATTTCCAACCACAGACGCTGACGTAGGACCAAATAAAGAAAAAAAAATTAAACTCATTTAATTAATTAATTAATTAATTCTTGTGAACCCCTCAATGTGCGTTAATAAAAATTGGGGTGAAGATAGTGGACATTATCAGTATAGGCAGTATGTCCTCCAGAAGACACAGAAACAAATTTATTTTCTAAATTCATAGTATTCATATTAATATCTTCCCAACCTGTCGATGTCCGTTAATGAAAATTGGGATGAAGATATAGGACATTATATGTCTTATTACCATATGCAGTGCGTCGATTGTAAACCTCAAGAGGATACAAAAAAATTAGTAATTAAATGGTTTATTAATTTATTATCTTCCGAACGTGTCGAAGTGCGTTAATGAAAATTGGGGTGAAGATAGAGAACATTATATGTCTTACTACGACAGCAGTGCATCGACTGTAACCCTCTATAATATACAGAAAAACATATTTTTCAACTTTCTGAGATGTTAATTAAGTCGCTTTTTAATTAATATCTTCCCAACTTGTCGATGTGTATTAATGAAAATTTGAGAGAAGATAAAGGACATTATACAGGGTCGGAAAGTCCCCATGGTTCATCGGCCGTTACGTGAGAGCGATAAAGAAAGTCATAAAAATCCATGCGATAGAGAAAGATGGCTATAATGAAAACGTCTAATAGTCACCGCCCATTTCGCCCCTCCACAAATAAGATCCACTTCTTATTTGTGGAAGTGCGAAATGGGCGGTGACTATTAGACGCCTATTAGTTACGGGTATTCAAGAACCTTAAATGACACGGGATTAAGTGGCACATGATTTTAAAGGTACCTATTTCAATTCTCTTTACAAACATTCTGAAATTTATTTGTTCTGTCAATTAATGTAAAAAACCTGTTGGAAGGGTCGGTGAAATAAATCGAAAAAAGGCTTAAAATAATAATGAAAAAACTCACCGGATAATGAAACTGTAAAAAATGAGGTTTATCATCGAAATCTTGGTAAAGATGGGTTTTATTAGAATTTTATATGTACTTTTGTTCCAATTTCACATCAATCAGAATTGTGTAGTGAAATTAATTGATTTGTTATTATTCGCTATTTTGAAGCAAACGATTCAAATTATCATGGTTTACACCGCTGCGCGCTGCTGAGAAAATTGCAATTGTTACTCTATTTTCGAAATAATGAAATGGCCCGGGTAACTGCAAAAATTTTAAATGAAAGGCATCCCGATAAGAATCTCAGTCATCCCTACGTGATAAATTTAATATCTAAATTCATGGAGTCTGGATCTGTTGCTAACAAAAAACATGAAAAGCAACACACTGTTACTGACGAGGCTGCACAGGTTGCAATTTTGGGACATGTTGAACTGGACTCCACTTCAAGCACCAGAAAATTACAGGCAACTTCAGGAATTCTACGTAGTAGTCTTCAGAGGATCTTGAAAGAGCATCAATTCCATTCCTATAAGATTCATCTCGTGCAAGAGCTCAATGAAGATGATCCAGATCGCCGTATACCATTTTGTGGACAGATGAGTGAATAAATTTTGGACACACAATTTTTTATATTGTACATGCTTTTCTTTCTTAAAGGTTACGTCAACAAACATAATTGCAGATACTGGAGTGATTCAAATCCTGAAGTTATGAGAGAACAGCATTCACAGTATCCAGAGGAGTATGGGCTGGGATTTTGGTAAATAATATTGTTGGTCCATTTTTTCTACCTGATAACTTGACGGTTGAATCTTACCTCAATTTGCTTCAAGACTTCATCTAGCCTCGCATTGTGGAGGATGGCGCTCCACCACTCTATGCAGCTGCTGTACGCAACTTTTTGAGTCAACATTTCCCACAAGATCGCCAATAGTGGTAGCATTTGATGAAATAACCCCTGCAATGCTAAAAAGTGTTCGGAAAAATGTTGAACAAAGGTTTTATTACTGCATGGAAGTAAATGGGTCGCAATTTGAACACTTAATTAATTAAAACTTGTTTAAAAACTTTTTCCGATTTATTTTACCGACACTTTCATCAGATTTTTTCAGCATGTTTGTAAGGAGAATTGAAATACCTTTAAAATGATGTGCCACTTACCCCCTCCCCCCCTCCCGTGCCATTTAAGATAATAAATATAATCAATGAATTTCACTACACAATTCTGATTGATGTAAAATTGGAACAAAAATACATATAAAATTCTAATAAAACCCATCACCTTATCAAGACTTCGATGATAAACCTCATTTTTACAGTTTCATTATCCGATTTCGAGGTTTTCCGGAAAAACCTGTTACATTGAAAATATTTCAGGTGGACTGTTTTAATTGGGCCACCCTATATAAGAATAGTTTCAAATTGTTCCATCGTTATTTGTATTATTTATACCAAGCAGCAGTTGTTGTAAATGTAACAGTTGAATGCCTGTAGCAAAAAAATTTATCCAACCAAAGAGTATGAAAGTCAGGCGCAACCTTTTTACTTGATAATGAACATTTTCACGGCAGTTTCTGTCACGATGAAACAGAATAGTAAAAGAGAAAATGAATCATTTCACATGAACAATGATAAGTTTGTAACGGTTATGATCACCACAGTGAACTACATTGAGAAATTTAACTGGAAAATAGAACGTACTTTTAGAAATAATTATAAAGTATTCCTTAGTTTAGTAATAAATTCATCTTTTTATTTTGACCCTGTATCGAATAGTTGAATTTGGAAGTGCTTATATAACAATGTCAATATCTAATATCGGATAATATGGGTTTTATGAACTATGGTCCAACGAGAAAGTCTTCGTTCAAAGGGTAATGGAATCAGTCGCTTTACTTTTTGTTTCGTTGATAAAGTCTAGACCCTAGCTCCCCTTTCTTTGTAGACTAAGGCTCTTACTTTGAAAGTGTAAATACCGATTCTTTTGATGAGTAGATAAATATCGGATGTTTGTTTTTTTTTACAGTTTCATCATGTATTTCACTATGGTTTTACATAAAATTGCAAATATTGTTATTACTTGTTAATATATACGTATGCGAAAATTTTTTTAATTAATTTTAACATTGTATCCAGATATAAGAATAGAAATTTTGAATGTTTTAGAATAGTAAAAATCTATATGAGCAAATACCTACATCTAAATAGGTTTATTCGATACATATAGATATATTCATCTGGATAGTAAAAGTAGAGGAAGTATATTTAAAATTAAGTTTTTGCCATTAGGTACTGTTAATTATTATTATCTTTAAATCAATTTGTCCAAAGTTATTTATTTGCCTAATCGTTTAGTTGTTCTCAATTTGATAACACAGTCACACAAAAAAAAGTCCAAACCCAAGAGAGCCACATATTATTTTCCAAGGAATTCGATGAGCTGAACACGATCCTATAGTCAAAATTCATGTCTTCATGACAAATTTCGGAGAAAAGTGAAATATTTGGGTGAGACTGATCCAAATGTGAGTCGAAACTGATTTTTTCGTAGTAGTTTGAGGCGCTGAATATGATGCCACGGTTAAAATTTACCTATGATCTCAATATTTCTCAGAAAATATACTATTTGTGTGAACACCGGCCCAAATATGGGTTAAAAACTGATTTTCTTTTCTAATTTTTGTCCAAATATATCTTTTATTAGTATTTTGAGGCGCTAAACACGACGCCATTAGTAAAATTTACCCATTACTTCTATATTTCTCATTTCTGAAAATTAAAAAAGTAATTACCACTATTAATATCATCTATATATGTTCATATATATGGTCAACAAAGAAATGATATATGTATTAAAGTGTCGGGGTACAATAATTTTGTTCTATAATTCAATTCATGTTAGCAAACAAGCTGCATTTGGAGGTTCAGTTCATCTCCAGCCGTCGCAACGAGCAGTACAGTTCGAAGGCCACCGAAGTAAGTAAGGTTCTGCGCATATCCAATG